GACTCTGTAAACCGCTTAGAGAGGGCTGAAAGCCCTACGAAGCGGTATATAAGTCTAACTGCTATTGCTATTACTATTGCTAATCTCATTGGGATGAGACAATTCCCTTAGTTAACCTCAACCCATGCCATGAAGGGCTTTAAAGGTAAGAACCCACCCCTTGAATTGGACCAGGAAGCAAACTTATATAAATGTTCTTAATGTACAACAAAGATGGTAGAGGCAGGGCTTGATATGTATGTTACATAAAGTAAAGCACGATATTACTCTGGAAATACTATGGAAGCAGCAAAACATCTATGGAGATTCTTTGTCATCCAGGTCATAATTGTCCCAAAGTCGACAAAGTTCCTTTGTGTTTCCTTGAAGATGTTTTGCTTCTCATCCACGAAGTTCAGAGTCAGAACTGAAGAAGCTTCTTGGATGAGAAGCAAAATGTCTCCAAGGAAAAACAAAGGAAGTCCAGTTGCCTTTTGAAAAAAGCACTTTTGGGATATATTGAGAGCAGTTTTTAATAACAGCCCCAAGTACAGTATATAGCATGTATATAGTGATCCAACCTGATAGCTATATGAATTGCTATAGGTACTGTACATCTTCCTGCCCTGGGTAGGTTTACAACTGACATACCAGCCTAACAGGATAAACATTCACATCCCACTATCTCCACAGCAGCAGTCCTGGTCACAGATAAGACACCCCTTACAATTAGAGGCACCACACTCTTTTCTCTAGCCATGGTACTAATGTTGCTGAAGGACCTGATACCTGGCTGGGTAATCCCCATCAATGACAACATCATCACCTAGCCAGGTTTTGATAATACATGCCAGATCTATTGTCTCATCCAATACCAAACCATGGATAAGAATAATCTTATTGCAGATATACAATATCTAGCATTAACTATCAACCACTTATGGCTCATGGCACCCACAACTGGTTCACAGGATGGCAGGTTAGAAGTGGAGGGAGCTCCCTTTTCCTGGGACAGCCAATCTGACACCTCCAGCCATATAGCCCTCAGCCCAAACTACAAGGCTACTCATCTTCCTATCAGGGGCAGCTAGGACTCATTTCACCAAAAGATCTTTCCCAATCAGAAATTTTAAAAAAGAGAAACCTCCCCCCAACTACTCAACTTCCAAACCAAAAATGTTCTGCAAAATAACTGCCCCCTGATATCTTCCCACTAGTATCAGCAAGCCACAGAATTTCATCTCACCTAACTTTTGCTTTTGTTGGTCTTGCCACTTGTCATGTTATCTTGCCTCCACCCAAGTCACATTCCTCCAGTTGATGGGAAATAAGAAATAAAACCACATTTAGGGAAGTCCCTAGATTAATTACAGATTAACTAAGAATAGAGGCATTCAAAATGTTTTGATTCAAACTGCTTTGCTTTGTGAAATTTTGCATTTTGCATTTAAAATAACAGTTTCAAACGTGAACAGGCTACTTACATTTTGGAAGCATTTTAAGGTCAAAACACCTCTTAATTCAAGCACAAAATATTTTAAGTTTGGAACACTTCTGGAGTGCTCAGAAAGTGATATTCCGTGCTGGATACAACTGGTCCCATACCTGGAATGGGAGACTTTGCAGTTTCATGAAGTTTTGTACTCAAAAGTGCAACACATTTAAGTGTTTTGCATAGCATTAAGAATTGCAGCATTCAGTTAGGATCACGGACTCTTACAGAACATTGTAATAGAAAGATGACAGGTTGAGCAGTTACAAATAAATGATGATTTATTGTGCGTAATGGGTGTGTAATGCCATACATCTGCACCCAGAAATAAATAAATGTAGGAGAACCGTAACATTCTTCTCATTGAATTCTGAGAATCAGTTTGGTCAAGTGAGTAAGCCACCAAGGTAGAAACTGGAGACTATGAGCATATTTAGGCATAAAATTGAATCTAGGCATAAAAGCTGGTTGTGGGCCAGTCACATTCTCATAGCCCAACCCTTACAGGGTTGCTGTGGGGAAAGTCAGAGAAGGAAGGAATATTAGGTATGTTAATCCCCTTGAATTCTTTATAAAAATAATAAAGGCAAGATAAATATGTATTAAATATGTATTTATTTAAATTTCTATGTAGTCCATCTTGCTCTTCAGATAGCTACTATATATTAATAAATAAATTCTGCTTGCAACGTGCTGCTGCACTGCTTAGCTTCCTAAATAGTTAGCTGTCCAGAATGGTAAGTACCTGTATATCTTATAAATCCTGAATTCTGCATCTTAGGAGTTGCTCTAGTTCCACATTTGAGGTTGTCCCAAGTGTTCATTTCACTGCACTAATTGGATGATTTATCTTATATTCACTAGTGGTCCTGATTATGGATATCACCAGTAGAAAGTCTATTATCCTTCTTGTCTTTCCCTGATGCATAAAGTTTGGTTCTGCAATGCGCCAGATTCAGCAATCTGAACACAGTGCTTCTTAACTCCTTCAATTCATAGATAGAATGAATTGGGAGTTGGGGAGAACAGACCACTAACAAGGACTTTTTTTAATTAGATGGTTCATTTTGTTCTGTTCCTGAAACCAGCTTGCTTGTTGCACTGTCAAAAAGATTCATAGGACAAAAATATTTATTGATTCCTTGACTTGAGGGACGGCAGCAAAGCTTGATTTGTAATTGTTTGATTTACTCTGGGCTGCCTGTGCAATTGTATGTTTTTAATGCTATTTAGAACATATAGGAATGGGAGGCTATATAATAAATTCAAACAAACATCGATAGAACTAGAGTTTATTGGATCATTAGGACAATTGTCTGGATTTGCACAACCAAACCATAAATTTATTGGTTTAAAAAATGAAGTTACCAGAACATAGTAACATTGTAATCTAATGTGTTTTTTATGATTTCAGATTCTGATTGATCAGGGTTGTTAGTAAACACAACTTTTTTCTGTGTTCACTCCACAGTGGTATGACATTAACCAATGTTTCCCAAACCTGGTAACTTCAGCTCCCAGAATTTTCCACCCAATACAACTATTGTTGAAAATTGTAGAACAACTTCTATAATTTTCAGCAATGAAAATTGCTGAAACATCTGGAAGTTGCTAGAGTTAAGGCATATTGATACAGACATTCTAATCCTAATCTAATTGCTTTTTATACCACATTAGCAATGCTTGGGTAACAGTATGAGCTGACAGCCTTTTTAAATGCTATACTTCACATATGTGAAGCCACATTGTTGAACAAAGGTTCGAGTCACACACCAAATTAGCCTTCATCATTTCTGGCAACCTTTCGGCGTGTTTATGGAGCTATGTACTGAGAATTTTATGTCACTTCGTTTCAAAGCGATTTACAATTCTGCCCTGTTCTGAATAGAATCGAATTCTTTATTGGCCAAGTGTGATTCGACACACAAGGAATTTGTCTTTGGTAGCTTTCGTTAAGTTAAGGGGATAGTAAAAGTCTACCATGCAAAGACTTTCCATTCATAAGCATTGTTCCCATTCATCTCCAAAGATACCCAGTTGGTTCCGCCTCGGTTTTATTTTACAAGCTCTTTACTCCCATTTTATTTTTACACATTCCCCCGAGTCCTCAATGGGGGGGGGGGGGGTTTGGGGAGCAATAATCTCGATTAGACACAGCCAAGAACATGTTAGCAACGGACCTCTGGATCCTCTTAACTTCTTTCCTGAGGGTTTACAAATTCGCCCGGACCGATGGACGCCTTTGGGATATATAAGGGAGAAATCATTTGCTCGCAGACGCTGACTCACGACTTTGGAACTTAACGTCGCCCGAGAGAATTTGGAACCCCCTGGCCGCTTTTCGTGGCCTCTCCTTGGCACATGGTTTGGGGAAGTCCGTGGGCTGAAGGAGCTTCCCCCCCCCGGTGGAGTAGCCTCAGTCTACCTGTGGCGTAAATATGGGACGGGGGGGGGAGAGGAGTGCCACGTGTAGAGTTGCCCCCAGGTACTTCTGAAAAGATTTTCCCTTCAGTTTAATTTGCCGCCAGTTCCCAAGACCGCAGACTTTTCCCGCCTGGCGCCGCCAGGTCATTCTCCGGGGCAACCCAAGTAAGTTTCATACACACATATACACAAACCTCCCCCCCCCCTCCATCGCCCCCCCCCCCCCCCACGCCCGACCGCCCGCTTCGTTGACATCCGCAGAGCCAGGCAGGCATCGGCTCCAAATTGAGAGCAGCTGCGGCGGCCCCGAGAGCTCGGACTCCCGCCCTCCGGGAGTCAACTTGGCGCTGTGTGTGTGTGTGTGTGTGTGAGGGGGGGAAAGGGTTGCGAAGCGCCCCCGGAAACTCGTCGGAGTCGGCCCGCAGAGCCCACCCCACGACTCGAAAGCTTGCCGCGGGGAGGCGGGTGGTGGTGGTAGTGGAGGAGGGCGAGGGCAGCTAAAGCGCAGCGTCAGCAATAGTAAGTCATGAGAAGCCATCCCGACTTGGCTTTTTGGTAAGGGCGGAGGGAGTTTCTCTGCCCCCCCCTCCCCCGTCCCTGCCGTCCGGGCTTAACGGAGCGAAGCGGCTGGAGGCGACCGATTCATTTTTTTTTCCTGGATAGTTTGAGCCCAACTCACTTCGCCCGCCCGCCCACCCTTTCCCTCCCTCCAAGAACCCCAAGTGAAGTGATGTGGGCTGCCTGGGACAAGCCGAAGATGGGATTTTCCTCCGCCCAGCTGCTGTTCTTGCTAAGCTGTTGCCCGACGGCTTGCCGCCCTTACAATCTAGATACTCGCAGCCCCCTGGTCTTCGAAGGGCTCAATGGGACGTGGTTCGGCTATTCGGTGCTGTTGCACAGCTTTGGCACCAGCCGGTGGTGAGTAAAGGAGGAGGAGAGGGGGGGACTTTTTCTCTGGAGGCTGCTCGCTTGTCCCGTGGGACTGAGGATTTTGTGACTCTCCCCCCCCGCCATTCAGCCCCCCCCCACCAAGCGCATCTTTTTGAGCATGCCTTGCTTTGGACCAGTGGTCCATTTTTTGGGCCCATGTCCCACCTAAGCATCTCTAAAATCCTGATTCCCCCCCCCCCTTCCAATATATAATTCTTTAGTGAAAAAGTAAAGTCCACTCAAGGGGAGGAAACCTAAAAGGCCATTAACTTGGTTTAAACAAGGTTCAAATTTCCCCTGTTAAAAATATAATTCCCCCCCCCCCTGTGGGGCGTAGGCCCCACAGTTTATGGTTTTATTCAACGGTGGTTTCAAAGCAGGAGGTGAGACCTCTTGTTCTGAGTCAGGCTAGTTTGGGAAAGAGTTTTTTTATTTTTGGGGTGTTTTTTTTTGTTTTTGTTTCAAGCAAAGTTTGGTGGGGAGTTTTGGCATCGCAGCCTTTCCAATATCCTGGTGTGCCTTTCAGATGACTTGGAATTGCCATTCCTAGTGATCTCTGGAAACCATTTGGAACACAATGACAATATTCTCTGTTTTATTGTTCGAAGGAAAGCTGTCCCTTTGGATGTCCTTACTGTTCTAAAACTGGCTTTTATCCCTATCCTACAGGCATTTTTCTTAATACATGATATACAAACGCAGGTCGGGTGTGAAAAATCTGGAAGCTGAATTAACTTTTTAAATTAAATTTACATACACGGCTTGATCTTTTTGTAAAGGTTTTCTTGTTTTTTTGTCCTTGAATTTTCTTTGGCAAAGTGAAGTTACAAACATACAAAATGATTTATCCTTATGGACCTCTTTCAGAATTTCCCCCCTTTCAGATTTGGCCATTAATTGTTCCAAGAAACTAAATTCCCCATAATCTAGAGGTTACCAGCAGGAAGACAAGTTACTTCCTCACATCAAATTTGAGTTATGGCTTCTGTGTTCTTCCTCATGTGCTGTCCCTTCCACACTTACCACAAACTAAGCTATTAATGCAGAGTGGGGGAGTCTTCCAGTTTTATAAGTGGAAGCATTCATTTCTGTTTCTTTCTTGCTATCTCTGTGAGTCCCAGGCACTGAATGAATCCTTGGTTACTCAAGTCTGGACTGCTTTTGTATGTGAGTGAGAGAGAGAGTTTTGAATCTTTTTTCTTTCTTCCTTCAGGCTTATAGCTGGAGCCCCTAAAGCCAGCTGGCCCAGTAATAGCTCTGTGGTGAATCCAGGGGCAATATTCAGATGCCAAATTGGAAATAATCCTAAAAGAGATTGTGAGATTCTCCAAGTGGGTGAGTGGAAACTGAAAAATTGATCTTGTCTTTTGGGTTGTCAGATCACTTCCTAAGCAACCATGAGGCCTGGAGAAGAAGAGCAAAGAAAGACTTCTTAGATTTAATAAGCTTTATTAGGAAAAATGTTGCTAATGCAAGTATTCAAGCACACAACTTTGCTTCCAGAAAATGGAACCTATGTATAAGCAATTCTGTGTTAGAATCTGCCTATCGTCCTCCTGTGCATTCATTGTAAGGACAAACTCCCTTCTCTGTCCGTGACCCGTCAAAACCGCGGAGGACAAAATAGCGCTCGACAAAAGCGCGCATGTGACGTCATCACAGCGCGACGAAAAAAATTAAAAATTGAAATAAAATTAAAATTAAAGCAAGCCGATTCACATAAAGGTAAGGGTTAGGTTTAGGGTTAGGGTTAGGTTAAGGGTTAGGGTTAGGTTTAGAGCGTTAGGGTTACGTTTAGCGTTAGGTTAAGGGTTAGCGTTAGGTTTAGCGTTATGTTAACGGTTAGATTTAGGGTTAGATTAAGGGTTAGGGTTAGGGTTAGGTTTGGGGGGGGTTAGGGTAAGGTTTTCGCTTTTTTTTTTACATTTTTCGATCACAGCGCGATGTTTTCATCGCGCTGTGATGACGTCAAATGCGCGCTTTTGTCGAGCGCAATTTTGTCCTCTGCGGTTTTGTGGTGGAACCTCTCTGTCCTTGGGGATTTTATTACTAACTATATCAATGAAGAATCTCTTGCACTGGTAGTCAGTCCTGCTGACCTGAATTTCGAAGTTCTTTGCAATGCTTCAACCACGATCAGTTGATCAGATATATTAGGTAAACGCTTTACAAGAATGTTCTGCATCACCTTATTTCATTATTTATAACATTTATATACCAAATCTACATTGTCTTTTAGTAATTTCCTGGTGCCACTCTTGTCATGATGAAATGATAAAAGATTAAGGTCAGCACATAAAAGTTGATTATTCTGGAAGAAAACAAAGATTTATTAGCTTTTTAGGTAGTGCTTCCCATGGTAAACATGCTCTCTGATGTTTTAACCTTGGAATTTTTTCTTTATTTTAACATATATATTAATATTTACTGAACTGTAATATATATTTATATAATATAAATAAATATATAATACTTCAATATAGTTTCTTCAACAAGACATCCAAAGCAGCATGTTTTGTTAATTACAAACTAAATTTGAAAAAAAAATGCATTCCAAATTGTATATTTTGTCAAAAGTACAGTTCAGTTTCTTTTACCAAATGCTTATTTTAAAAAATACACTGAAATCACAAACAAAAGAAAAGTTTCATAAATTGAAATGGAGTTAGAGGCCATAAACAGCAAATAATTTCTACACATCCACGTAGCTCTGTAATGGCTTGCACCTCTTTGAAGTGTATCCATACACTTTTAAGAATATAGTTAAAACATTCAAGACACTGACTTCCAACATAATTAAGATTCAAGGCAATTTGCAGATTAAAATCACTTAGCTGTTGACACTGAATTAGTTCTTGAAGCTAAAACTGTTCTCTCGTGTAGTCTCAATTTCTTCTTACAGACAAAGTTTGAGGAATATTTATTCAGAAGCTTACGGTTATGAGAACTCTTAAAGATTTATAGAAATAAGAGTGTATGAATTTCAGAGAAAAAGTTAAGTTTTCATTTTAGCCAGTAAACAAAAAGAGGAGAATAACCTCTAGAATTTTAAAATTAGGCTAAGTGGACATTGATTTTCATTTCAGTTACTGAAATGCATTTTACTCAATGAGTAGATGCTGTAACTAGAAGACTTCATGATAAATTGGCAAAGGAATGCTCTCAGCACTGAGCATCTGTCTGTCATAATGTGTAGCTTTATGTAAAATACAACCATTCAAGGAAAAGGGTCATAGTGAGTGCTATATATTCCCTGTAGGCTTTTTGGGAACATAGTAAAATCTCTGTGTTGATGCATTGAAGACTAGGTGAAAGATCAACCCTTTTCTTTAAATCTTAAGAATCCCCGTGGACTGGATCACATATCTCTGCTCATTACTTCATAGCTGCAACTTCAAATGGCAGTATTTACAGTATGTGTGAAGGAATTGGGCCAAAAAAAGTTGTTGCACTATTTTACTACCTTAGGAAATATCTTCATATCATTCAATAATTGATTCACAAATCATCCAAAACCATGATTTACTTGCCAAATAAGTCACAGATCACTTGGTTTTATTATTTGTAAATTTTTGTACTGCAAAAGTTGACCAAGTTGACAAGTTGATGTCATGCTATATCAAATCAAAACAAAAACTATTGTAGCTTAGTATGTTGTGTGAACTTTAGCAGTTCATACAGGAAGTTAATTGACACATTGCAATGTAGTATGTATGATTTTGGATGAATGTGTTATAGGTCTTATGATTGTAAGTGTATGTTATAGTATAATATATTGTATAATATACCACGTTTCCCCGAAAATAAGATAGGGTCTAATTTTCTTTTGACCCCCGAAATAAGCACTTGGCCTTATTTTCGGGGAGGTCTTATTATTTTTGAGGTGCAGGAGGCAGCTAGCGTAATCACCTCATGGCTGCAGCTGTGCTGCAATATTTTCTGGGAGGGCTTATTTTAGCGCATGCGTTCAAAAGTCCGATTGGGCTTATTATCTGGGGAGGGCTTATTTTCAGGGAAACAGGATAGTGTAATATAATAAAATAAGTTGTCTGTTGATTATAAGAAGAGATGCATTATTGTTTGTTCAGTTATGGCTTCCTTTCCCTAGCACACTATGTTCAAACAGTCCGTGGTAGGCTTATACAGTTTAATAAAGCAAAGAGTTTCATGTAGAATTATCATTTAACTTTGGACAGTAACAATTCCATTAAAACCACCAAGGTATTGACAAAACAGACCTTCATTGGTTTCCTTAATTTAAAAACAATTACAGTATCTCTCATTGCCAGCCAGTAAATTCATTTAAACATTGGAGTCTTGCATCCAGGTGCAGCATAACTAAATCCGAAACTAAACTTCCAAGTCTATCAGCCTGGAACTAAAAATACAGCTTTGAATAAATTGATTTTCACATCGAGGAAAGCTATGCACTTTGCACTTTCAGCAAAGATGCACTTTCAGATTGGCATGTCATCAGACAGGTCATGGCATTTGAAAAGTACTTTCAGAATGAATCACCACAACCGGTAAGATTTATCATTTATTACTCTCTGTTTTATAGATAAATCTTATGGTTTTTAGCAGTGAATTAAATAAATTGACTGCTTAGAATTTGCTTTAAGAGTGGAATTTGCATTGTCTGCTAAGTACAGAAGCAATTACTCAGAAATGGAGGATGGAGTCATTTCCAAACAAGTTGTACAAAAAAGCTGTTGTGATGCTCAGCTCAGCACAGTCACGTAAGTCAAAGTATGTTCAGTATAGATTGGTACAGAAGTAAGCAAATTAACTGTAAGGGAGATTTTTTTTTGCCTTTGATGGCTTTGTCATGCCGGTAAACTTTGTTTCAACTTTGTTGAAAACTAAAACATGAAGAAATGAAATTCGTTTTAAGGCAGATCAGAACTTGCACGATGCTACTCGTGTTTCTTTTAGGGGGACAGTTGGAACAAGTATACAAACCCTGCTTCCCTTTGGTTCACGCTTTACAAATAAAGAGCCTCTTCTCTACTGAAACTCATCCTTTCTCATGTTACATAATAATTTATGGAACGTGGCAAACAATTTTGATGTTTTAATTTCTGTTGTCAGTTATTTTAATGTTTTGATCCTGTAATTGTTTTATTCTATTATTTATGATATTTTAAGCCACCCAGAGTTCCTTGGTTGAGAGATGAGCACCATATAAATTTAATAAATAAATAAATAAATAAAATAAGACCTGGGACACCAAAGTTGGGCCACTGGTGAAATCTCTGCCAAGTATCAGACAGAGCAATATTAGCCATACTAGAGAGGACCATGATTAGATTTGGACCTGCTAGTTATACAGCATGTGCCTTTCCAATGAATTGCAGTCCCACTTGCTAGATGTGCTAGAACAGTCACCTCCAACCACAGACCGGTTTCATGGAGACAGTTTTTCCGCAGACTGGAGGGGAGTGGTTTCACATGGATCCAATGGAGGAGCTTTGCTTGTTTGTGCGGCCCGGTTTCTGCCATCCCGCGAACCAGTGCTGGGAGTTGGGGATCCTTGAGTAGAATGAGGGAGAAGGCTATGATCTGATATGAAGAGTGATTGTTTTTCTGTGAAAATATCCTAAGCCAAAGAAGGATAGTTATACTGAAATATGCTCATAGAATGCAGTGTGGTTTTGAGGGGCTGCCATAAGTTTCAGTTCTAGGCCTTGTACTTATTAATATTTCTGTTAGAAACTTGAAGAGGTAGAAAAATACCAAATTTGCAATGATGCATAATTGGATGGGATATTTATTACTCCAGAAGGGAGAAATCAGATTAAAAAAGAGAGCCAGATGGTGTTTGGTTAAGGTGTCAGCCTAGAAACCTGGAGACTATCAGTTCTAATTCTACCCTAGGATGAAAAACGGGCTGGTAACTTTAGGCCAGTCACTCTCTCTTAGTCCAACTCACCTCACAGAGTGGTTGTTATAAGGGAAATAGGAGGAAGAAGGTGTATTGGTATGTTCGCTGCCCTCAGTTGTAAATGGAAAAAAAATAGGTGGGAGTAAAATCTAAAAAAAAAATCCAATGTTGATAGGAATATTCTTTATTAGCCAAGTGTGATTGGACACATAAGGAATTCGTCTCTGGTACATAAACTGTCAGCATACATACAAACAAAAAAGTAGTAAGTCATAGATTATAATTCATAAGATACAAACAAGTGATAAATAATAAGATACCTATAGGAGAAGTTAATAGGAATTAGGTTTATATAGGTTTAGCAATCAATAGAATTAAGTTTTGCATAAAAGCAAAATTCTGCTAGAAAACAGAACTAAATATTGGATGATGCCTATCTGGTTTAATAATA